AATCTTGTTTTTGCCACTTGGGCATATTTTTAGCACAACTTTTGTATCTACTTTGTACTTAGGCATTTTGATACAAATTATAGCTACTTCTGTCAGTCTCTCTCTAGTATACTGAACACTTTGATGGTTGAAAGCATTTCACCTCTGTATCACAGAACACAGTGGGAAGCTTTGGGTGAAGGTGGCACTGAATAAATGTTTGCTGACATGATTTCAAAGATAGAGATAGATTTTGAAATAAGAAAATGGTGGTAAAATTAAAATTTTTAATATTTACTGATAGCTTTTTAACTTATTAGGAATTTTTGGAAGAATGCTTATTAAAGAGAAATTCTTTTTATCTCCTATAATATACTGTTCAGCTCAAAATCATGACACCAAGGACTAAATGGCCTGATGTGTTTCATTGCACAAATTCTTAGGTAGACTTTGCTAACTGTATACACTTAATCCTTAAATGATTCAAAGTAAAGCCATCAATTTAAGGCAGTCCAATAAAGTATAAATGATGTGTTTATAAAATGTTATAGCAAAGTTCTTTCTTGAAAAAGAAATTCATCTATCTATCTATCTATCTATCCCTCCCTGATGGATTAGTGGAAATGAATTGAGCTGCTAACTGAAAGGCTGGCAGTTCGAATCCATCAGATGTTGCATATGAGAAAAATAGGTATTGCCTCTTGTAAAGATTTATAGTCTCTGAAACCCAATAGATGGCTGTTATAAGTTAGACTCAATGGCAATGAGAATATATTTTTATTAATATACTGTTAACCAATATAATCTAATCACTATTAAAAGATAAACTAATGATTATTTAAACTGTTTCAATTTGAGCTTATCAAGGTCCAGACATCCCATTATATGTTTCTTCAATTGTTCAATCTCTCATTTTTATATAGTATTTAAAAATGTCTATATGATATAGTTACAGAAATGATAAAATTTTCCTATCTTAAAAATGGAGCTTTTAATAAGTGTCACAACATTTTACACAAAACATTGTATTTTTCTTATGATTTAAAACGCCAAGTAATCAACAGTTATAATACCCCTATATTCTTTCCTTAAAATGTACTTTCTCTCCTAACATTTACTGCCTGATCACATTGTAAAAAACTAGTAACTTAAAACTGTAAAAATATCTAGAGGGTAAGTGGCTCAGTTTAAAACTAGTAAAATCCTGATGACTTTGGTTGTTAAAACTTTAACTTTGCAAACTGTGTCTTAAGAATTTAATAATTAAAAGGTTCTAGAAATTTTTTTTTAATATGTGTGTACCATCAAATTGGATCTGACAGGTATAGGAGGCGATTGTTCCTCCTTCTTCAGCAGAGCATCTGGTGGATTTGAACTGCGCAACTCTGGGATTGCAGTGCAGTTTCCTGCCACTAGGCCACAGCTCGCCTCTAGAAAAATTCTTAATCAGATTTAATAGAGGTGCTTGCTGGAGGCAAAGATGGTGAAGCTTCATCTTTTCGACTTTGGACGTGGAGCTAGTCAAGACTGTTCATCGGAAAGGGACATCATGCTTGAAAGGATGGAGGGTCAGTGAGGGAGAGGAAGAACTCCAATGAGCTAGATGACACACTGACATCAGCAATGGATTCTAGTGTGTCAGAGATGGTGAGGATGGCACAGGATAGGGCAGGGTTCAGGTTTCCTGTTCACAGGGTCACTGAGTCGTACTCGACTTGAGAGCAAGTAGCAACAACAATATCAGGTAGGAGACAGATGGACAATCTCCTTTTGTGTAATTTATAGTCTTTGAAAAGTCACTGGAGGGTCTGTCAGGAATCTGTTCTGACTCCATGACACACATGCAGCAGCAGCAGCAGCAACAACAACAACAACAACAACAAGTAGTTAGATTCCAGGGTGACACTACCTGCTTGTGATCAGTTCCTAACCTAAAGATTGATGGTTCAAACTCACTCAGTGGCTCTACAGATAAAAGGCCTGTTGACAATGAATACAATACTATAGAGCAGTTCTATGTAACATAGGGTGTTGCAATGAATCAGCACTGAACTGATGGCAACTGACTTGGCTATCTAGGTTACTGAAGTAAACCGGACCTGAAAAAGCAACAGCAGCTGCAAAGTGTCATTAGGGCAGTGCCATTCTGGATGACTCAGCTGAAGAAAACTAAGCTTCAGACCATTTTAACATTATAAAGAGAACATGAGTTATGTGTCTCTTGATGAGATGAAACAGAGCAACACCTAATAATTATTCTTGAAACTCCTCTCCCAAGAAAGTCTTGATTCAGATTAAGGTTCTAAATCTAACTAATGGTTTAGAGGAACTATCTGTTAACTGACAGAACAATGGCTTCAAAGCAGAAACCAAACTTATGACTGTTTGGTCAATTCTAACTCATGGTGAGCCTCCATTGAGTTTCTGAGGCTCTAACTCTACACAGCAGGAGATGGCCTCATCCTTTAACTTTGGAAATTTGATGGACTAAAAAGCACTGTTCTGGTTAACAGTCCAAAAATATACTCTACTATGCTATAAGCAATATGTAGACTTTGAGAAACTCAACATGAGAGAGAATTTCCCTATCTTATCTAAGTTCCCCTATTTTGTTGAAGATAAAATGAAAACATTATAAACAAAGAGGAAGATTCTATTTTAAAATAGACTTACAGACACATCTTATGGTACAGAGATCTTGTAAAGCTCTTGATGATTAAAACACTTTAGGAGAAATGGCAGCATTTTTGAATAGTGACTGATACTTGATGATGTTAAATTATGTTTTAACTTTACAATGATTGATAATTTAGGACAGGAGAGGATGGAACAAGATTGGGCATATGAAATAATAGTCTCAACTCCTATGGCCCATGTATATGGAGCTGAGCCTATTGTTTAATATATACTGAAATATTTAAAGATGATAAAATTATTAGGATTTGTTTTCAAATTATCTGGCATAGGAGAGGACAGAACAAGATTAGGCATATATTAAAAACTGTTCAACCTAGGTGATGAATAAAAGGGGGATTACTCTATATTTACTATGCTCATAAATTTCCACGGTTAAGTTTTTAAAATTCTTTGGACCTACTTTTGAACAAATATTTTACTTATACTTAAATTGATAACATTTAATAGAATATATTTGAATTATGGAGTTGGTGAAGAATACTGAATGTATCAAGGACTGCTAAAGTACAAACAAATCTATCATGGAAGAAACGAAGCCAAAGTGCTCTTTATAAGGAAGGATGGTGAGACTTCATGTCACATGCCTTACATACGTTATCAAAAGAGCAGAAAGACTTCATCCTTGGTAAAGCTGTTGCTGCTGTTAGGTGCTACTGAGTTGGCTATGACTCATAATAACACAATGAACAACACATCTAACCCTTGTCCGATCATGCACCGTCACCATGACCTCTGCCATGCTCAAGGCCATCGTGGTACTCACTGTTTCAATCCACCATATTGAGGCTCTTCCTCTCTTTCTCTGACCCTTTACCTTTCCCAACATGATGCCTCTCTAAAATCTGCCCAAAGGAAGTGAGATGAAGTTTCACTATTCTTGTCTGTAAGGAGAATTCTAGTTGTGCTCAGTTCAATACAAATTTGTTGGTTCTTTTGGTAGGCCACGTTATATTCAATATTCTTTGCCAACATCACAATTTGAAGACATTGTTTCTTCTTGGATCTTTCTTGTCCAACTTTCAGGGACATAGGAAGCAACTGAAAATACCATGGCTTGGATCAAGTACACCTTAGTCTTCAAACATCCTTGCTCTTTAGCATTTTGGAGCGGTCATAGACAGGAGAATTCTCCAATGCAATACATCTTTTGATTTCTTCTTGACTGCTGATAAATGTGTGCTGATTGTAGGTTCAAGTAAAATGAAATTGTTGACAACTTCAATCTTTGCTGCCTATCATTCTGTTGCCTACTGGCCCAGTGGTGAGAGTTTTTATTTTCTTGATGTTGAGGTAGAATTAGAATTCATACTGGAGGTTTTAGTGTTTGATCTTCTGCAGAAAGTACTTCAAGTTTTCTTCACTCTTAGTAAGCAATCTTGTGTCATCTGCATAATGCAGGCTGTCTGTGAGTCTTCTAATTCTGACGCCACATCTTCTTCTCAATGTCCAGCTTCTTTAATTACTTACTCAGCAAACAGAATGAATAGTTAGAGAGAAAAGATACAATCTTAATGGACACTTGTCCTCATTTTAAATCATGCAGTATTCCTTTGTTCTGTTCATACAAATGCTTCTTGGTTTATGTATAAGTTTCACATGAACACAATTTAGTGTTCTGGGATTTGCATTCTTCTGAATATTATCTATAATTTGCTATGATCCACACAAAAAAATGACTCTGCATAATTCATATAATACAAGTAAACATCTTTCTAGTATTCTTTGCTTTCAGCCAAGATCCATCTGACAACAGTAATAATATCCTCATGCCACAGTCTCTAGTAAATATAGATAGGGGGTCACTGGAAAGAAGAAGACCCTTAACTAGGAGGCGTGACACAGTGAGCATAATAACAGACTAAAAGCATAATAACAGACTAAGATAATAATAATAATAATAATAATAATAATAACATAATAACTAGCATAATAACAGACTAACAGCATAATAACAGGAGAGATTGTGAGGATACGGCAGGATTGGCAGGGCTTTGTTCTTTTGTACATAAGGTAACTATGAGTTGGAGACAAAGAATATGCAATTGCAAAGAGAAAGAATCATCAATTGACCACATGTATACATTACTATGGATTCCATAAGCAGTGAATTTAAATTATTTTGTTTAAATAGCAACATAAAAAGAATGATTCATTACATCTAGGAGTTTTTCTGCTTCTAATGCTATTGACTTGCTTTCACCTATTAATACTTGTTTCTAACATTTTGTTCATTAAGAAATGACTACTAAGTAAAAAAGTAAAAATACAACACCACAAAATTCTTTGACAGTTCACAACATATTTCACATTGATTTGCAACTCACCTGCTGTAAAATCTTCAGTCAGGTCAATAAATGCATGAGAATGTGGATATCGCATTTTACTTTTAGTGGTCAAAGCAGGGTGCCATGATAAGTTCCTAAAAAAATGAAAATAATTTTCTTAATGCAAACATGAAATAAACATTTTTTAAAAAACAAGAAAACCAGTATAAAATGTCTTTTCTTTTGCTCTTATAATAGGTACAACACAGCAGTTTTTAGTATATGCACAGCACACTGTCATCACTGCTATATGACTCCAAAACATTTTTATGAAGCACAAAAGAAATGTAATATTAGTAGTCACTTCTCATTTACCATACTCTGTAACCTCTAGCCAGTAACTAGTGCCTTTGCACTGATATTCAGTCATTACAGTCTCAAAACTGAACTGTGTTGCACAAAGTTTTTAAAGACTGATTTTTTACGAGTAAACCGTGAAGTCTTTTCACAATGGTGCCTCTGGGTGGACTCAAACTGTTGATGTTTTCTTCTTCAGGTAAGCTTGTTAATGATTTTTACCAGTTTCCAACAGTTGTAAAATTTCAATCTACTGTCATTGAGTCAACACAAAACTAATTCTCATGAGGTCAGACATGTCCTCTCACGCTCCTGCACCTACTTACTGAGTCCAAAATTAGTTGCAGTGGCCTCACAGATTTCAGAGAACTCTACTCATGGTTATGGGGTTTATTAGGAAAGTCAACAGGTTAAAATTCAGGTTGACAGCAACATATAATCCTTCAGTTCAGAGAGTTTCTGACTCAATGGCAAGATACAATTCCCTAGTGCAGAGTTTCTCAATTAATAGTATAACATAATCCCTTAGTCCAGACAGTATCTCAAATACAATCCTTAAGTGGCTATAATTCAGGTTTAACAGCCAGGTACAATCTTTTAGTCCAGAATGCTTCTCAATTAAAAGCAAAATACAATCCCTGGCAAAGGAATCTCTGGTCTTTTCATTCTTGGTGATGAAATTCCTGCTTTCTGCCACTAAATATGGCTCAATTTAACGGCAAGATTAGTCAATACCCTTGTGGTTAAACTAACATGCCCTATAAGCATGAGGAAGAAATGGCTCACACTGTTTGTTGTTGATGATGTAGGTGAGCCATGCGTTTGCAAGGCAGGCAAAGTTGAGGTAGCTGGATGAGTTTAGCAAGATTGTCCCTGGCAAGTGGAAAGCTAGAAATGGCAAGGCCAATGAAGATGGTCTAGGGACGTAAAAATTTGAGCAACAGATCCACTACACCTTACCATCTCAACAATATATTTGGAATGCTAAACACTAATGGTCCAAACCATACAAGCTGTGGGATGATACTGAGAACATCTTACATGGGGGAAAAAGAAAAAGGGCATTAAAAAGACAAGAACGAAAGAAAGACCAAATTGGACATTACAGAACATTCTGAAACTTGGTCTAGAATGCAGAGAAGTTAAAGCAAAAGGAAGAAATGCTGAAGTAAGAAACCTGACCAGAGTTGAAATAGGAAAGATTGGTGGGGATCTGGAAAGATGGTAATGGTGGGTGTATTTCAATGGTGATTAATTTTATGGAACACAATGAATAGGAATGATTGTATGAAATAAATGTGAATGACGGATAGTGTAAAACACAATGCCTACAAACTTTGTAATCAAACCAATATACTTTTTTTAAAAAAAGATAAAGCAAATTATTATAATGAAAAATGCAATGACTTGAGGTTAAAAAACTAAAATGGAAGAACACATTCAGCTTTTCTCAATCTGATAGAATGGAAGCATAAATTCAAGCCTGAAGTTATAAGACTGAACAATTCTATTGGCAAAATACAAAAAGTTGCAGGCAACATAAAAAGAAGACGGGAGAAATAAAATAAGAGAGTCACTGCTCGAAAACCAAAAATAATTGGTTGATGCTGAATCATTTCAGGAAGCAGTAAATGTTCATGAAGGAAGATGTCAAAAGCTGCAACTTGTGGTTTATTTGTGTTCAAAATGCTTAATTTGACTCCCATTAGGAAAAACCCACTGGAAAGACTTATTGTCCAAGTAACATTTCCTATTCTTCTCTATATAGGGAACTCTGGTGGCTTGGTGGTAAGGAGATGAGGTGCTAACATAAAGGGACACGGCTTGAATCTATAAGCTGTTCCATGGGAGAAGCATGGGCAATATCCTTCCATGTGATTAAATTGCCTCTGAAAGCCAACCGGGTAAACTATGAGTCAGTTCCTACTTGATGGTACATATCAAAATAATAACAACTACTCTATTTATTGTTAAAATTTGCTCTTTCCCCCACTGTTGTTGTTGTTAAGTGCCGGTGAGTCATAAAGAACTCATAGCAACCCTATGAATGAAAGACCTGAACACTTAAAAAACTTTACTTGTTTCTCAAAGTTCATAGTTTTCAGAGGCAACATATTTTGGAAATGGATGCCACTCCTGCTTCTAAGCTTGTTTTAATCGTGGAGCTTCACCAATCACTGTCCACCATGGGTAATCGTTATCACATTTGACATATCAGTGTCACAGTGTTTAGCACCACAGCAACCACAAGTTACCTCTGTATAGCAAATGCACAGACCAGGGCTATACCACTTAGAAGAATGTTTAACCAAAAAGAATTAAAACCAGGCCTGAGGGTTGCAGATTAAAATCACCCACCCTTGGCTTGGTAGCATCACTTTCTATCCACTAGGCCAACAGAGCGCTCTCATTGTTATTATTGTTATGTGCCATCAAGTCATAGGTGACTCATAGCGACTCCATGAACGAAAGACCTGAACACTTGTGTAACTTTCATTGTTTCTCCACTGTCCTATACCCTAATCCAATAGGGAATCACAGATACAGCAAAGAGCAAATTAAGGATATATAAATGCAACAGTGCTCATGTAAAACCTATATCTAGACAAAGACGGAGCTGTCTGAACAGATCAAAGGAACACTGTACGGTTTAAAATCAAGAAAAGTGTGTCTTAGGGCTGTACCCTTTCTCTGTATCTATTTAATCTGTAGGGTGAGTGAATAATTTGTGAAGTTAGACTTTATAAAGAAGAATGTGGCATCTGGATTGGAGAAAGACTTTATCAACAACTTGTGTTATGCAGATGACAAAACTTTGCTTGCTGAAAGTGAGGGTGACTTGAAGTGGCTTGCTACAAAAGATCAAGGATCATCAAGAAAATGAAAATCCTTTTCATAAGGATAACAGATAACATCAAGATAGATGAAGAAAAGATTGAAGTTGTCTACAATTTCAATTTACTTGGATCCACAATCAAAACACTTGGTAGTAGCAGTCAAGAAATCAAAAGATGTATCATATTGGGAGAATCTGCTGTCAGAGACCTCTCTAAAATGTTAAAAAGCAACAATGTTCGTTTAAACCCTAAGGTGCACTGGATCCAAGCTATGGCCTGTTCAATTACTTGTTATGCTTTTGAAAGTTGGACAATGTGACTAAGGATGACAGAAGAATAATCAGTGCCTTTAAGTTGTGCTGTTGGAGATAACAACTGAATATCCCATGGACTGCCAAAAGAGCCACGATTTCAGAAAGGTCCATCCTCAGAAAAGGAAATCATGCTTAGAAAGGTGGAGGGTCAACACAGGAGAGGAATACTCTCAACAAGTTGATCACAGGGTGTCAATGACGAACAGCGGGCTCGACGGCAATAGCAACAACAGGAATAACTGTCAACACAACATCTAGGAATCAAGTTTATTTGTGAATTTTGTTTTGCTGTCTTTGTAAAGAAGAGCAATACAACAACTAGCCTGCTCTTTCCAGGTAGAATCTGGAAAAAATATTAAATATTTAAAAGCAGAAAATGGCCAAAGGAAACATTTTCTTTAAACAACTACCTCATTCCAAAAACTTTCTACACTCTTTCTAGCTCATACTGTTGTTAGTTGTTGTTGTTAAGTGCCATTGAGTTAAATACAACTCACAGCGACCCTGTGAACAGCAGATCTGAACCCTGCCCTATCCTGTGCCGTCCTCACCATCTCTGACACACTCAAGCCCACTGCTGAGTCATTGTGTCAATGCACTTGGTTGAAGGTTTTCCTCTCCTTCACTGTCTCTCCACCTTTGTAAGCATAAGGTCCCTCTTTAAGGAATAATCTGTCCTAGCAATATGCCCAAGGTACATGAGATGAAGCTCATACTAGGATTCATGCTTAATTTCAACAATAAAACAAAAAATGAGCAGTATCTACACAAACTAATTTCATTATTTCAAGCAAAATATTATAAGATTAATGCAAATATTAAAACAAGTTCCCAAATTGTACTTAACATTCACTGTAAGGCAATTTATGCCAATGAACCAGATTGATTATTTTTATTTCATACTGTACAGCCTAGAAATCTTTAAAATAATTTTAACTAAGTATCATTTAATAATGGTTGATTCACTTCTTTTTAAAGACAGGCTATTTATTCATCAGTTCTAAAATCGCTATGCAGAAGTGTTCTTAATTACTAACAAAATAATCAGACTTTGAGTAGAGATGGTTACCATCATGTGTGAACTGATTATTATTCCTAGTACAAGGTAACTATTCTATGTATCGTAAAGGCAAGGTTAGAGGCAGCTATATAATTATCAGTTTTGATTTTTTTTTTTTCGGTGCATGTACCGTCAAATCAGATCTGACAGGTACAGGAGGAAATTGTCCCTCCTTCTCCGGCAGAGCATCTGGTGGATTTGAACCGTGTACCTCTGGGATTGCAGTACAGCTTCTTGCCACTAGGCCACCAGAGCTCCCCTATCAGTTTTGATTTTAAGTCTTTTCAGGAGTTGGGACCTTCATTAAATAGTTACTAATTCTCTGGCCAAGTTAGCTAATATTTTGCCTGATCAGAATCCTGCATCTGGTTTTTGCCTCTGAACTTGAATCTGTGGCCATATTTTCTGTGTTTAAATTTTTTTTCTTTCTTTTTTTCCCCTAACTTTCCTATCCTGTGTCAACCCATCTGGATGAGGCTCTTCCTTTCTTTCACTAACCCTCCACCTTTCCAAGCATGATGTTCTTCTCCAAGGAATAGTCTTTGCTAGCAACATGCTCAAAGAATGTGAGACAAAGCTTTGTTCTC